ATCACCGACAAGGAATCCTGTGGAAGCTTCTTTGAAGTTCAAGATGGTGAGTTAGAGACTTACGAACGGGTCAGATTCAGTTTCCACTGTGTCACTGTTGTTTCTCCATCTCATTCTCCTGAAGATCCATATGCGCTCAGTATAAAACGACGCCATCGGGCGCTATGCCATGATCAGTCAAACCTGCCTTCCTAGCCTTTCTGGTACGGACATTGATTTCAACTCCAGCAACACCATAACTGTTCAGGGGCACCCAACGACACATGATTTTCGAAAAATATCTGTTCGGAAGACGATTTGAGATCTAGAATTTTCGGAACATTTGTTGTAAAATTTCTTGCTTGCCTGCCTCTCCTAGGATTTTCGAACATCTAAAAAATGGTAAAATTGCCCATTTTCAACGGATTTTTACCCTAAAAAGGTCACCTAAAATTTTCGGGAGCCTTTTTTCTGGCTGAAATTTTCGAACAGGTAAGTTTTATATAATTTTTGGATCACTAGACTTTCAGCTAGGAAATCCGAACAAATGAAAAATTTATAGGGGATAAAAATATGCCCATATCCACTGTTTAAATACTAAAACACGTTTAACAAAGCTATGCTTAAGTGGTTTTAAACTATATTTTCGTTGGGTGCCCCTGACTGTTTGCAAGAACTTTCTGCCATCCACATATTTCAGTCTCTTAAACTGACTTTGCCTATCTTTTTCTAACGGTTATTTGTTCATTGTTTCAGGCTACGCTTTAGTTGGTAATGTTTTGGAAACTTTTGTGGTTGTTGATGAGTTTGAATGTCAGCAAAAATGCACAGCAAACAAACGTTGCAAGTCATTTAATGTCCGTCCTGATGACGATTTTACAAGGCTGCACATTTGCGAACTAAACAACGAAACAAGGCAGATGAAACCAGGAGATTTTGTGAAGACAAAAGCTTTTAGTTATTATGGTTCTGTAAAGGTTAGTGATAGCAGTGATAGCAAAAAAAACGTTTAAACCTCGAACGAGTAACTCGTTCAATTTAGAGCAACTTAGGAGGTTTCAAACAACAAACCTTGTCTAATTCACCTGACTCATCACTTTGGCAACATTAACTGATACTACTACAGTCGACTCCCAAAAACTCGAACCTTGAAGGGAAATTGAAAAAAGTTCGAGTTAGCGGGAGTTTGAAGAAAATAACCAGAGCTAAGTAAATAAGCAAATGGATGGGGAGGGAATGCAATTAAGCAACAAAGTATACAGGGATGAACACTGAATTTGAACTGGAGTGACAAAAAGTAAGAAGACAAAGAATTGACTTGGTTGTTTTGAAATAAATTCAATGTTTCGGACTTCAGTGCACGGTTTCTTCCCCGACTTTTCACGCGCTTATAACATGGTTCGAGTTATCTAGGGTAAAATTGTGTGAGAAATGATCTGAAGGGAAAAAAAAATTACTTCGAGTCAGCGGGAGGTTCGAGTTACTGAGGGTAAAATTACAGTAAATCAAGAGAGAATGAGTTAGATCATTCTCTCTTGAGTAAATGTAAGAAGGAAATCCAGGGAAAATCGACTTTGGTTCGAGTTGGCGAGGTTTCGAGTTATCGGCTGTGAAAAAAGAAACAACTAAAACTGGTTTGCACAAAAGTGAGATAACATATATTCAAGTGGATGCCGGAATCACACACATCATAAATTCAAGGAAATCGGAAGAACATGAAAACGATGGCACATGAATATTTAATGTGAAGTTCAGTGTGGATTTTTAAAGATTCGAATGTCAATAATACATTAATCACGATTTTCTTTACTACATTCTCAATCAAGATATCCTGCTTTCATATCTCTCATAACAAGAAGACTCAAACTTCCACTGGTTACTGTTATCCAGCTCCCCAAGGAAAATCTTGCCTCCCAAAACCAGGTGAATGAGGTCAATTTCTTATGATTGAGTGATTAATTTATCTAAAGCCAGACAATGAATGAAATGCTTTCTTCTAACATTTTAATCACTCGCAAACTTTTAAGGAGGGGTGACACTGTTCAAGTGTCCTTCAAGAGACGAAAATGATTTAAAACCGCTCTTGGAAGAAAAACTACACCATCAGAATTCCAGAGGAAACTTGCAAAACAAATCTCAAGAAAAAAAGTTGCCTAAAATACGGTTTTTGCCCTTTTTTCCTCCTCCCATTTAAAGAGAGGAAGATCGTCTCTCGTACATTTGCACTATTTGCCTTTGCGTGCTAAAAATAGACCATTAAACGACTATGGTAAAGCAAAACCCCGTTAATACGTATACACTGGAGGAGCCATAGAAAGTGTCCATATCAGCGGGGTGTCCGTATAAGCGGGTCCTGTTACTAAAGTCAAAAAGACACCTTTTACTGGTGTAAAATACTAAAGAAATTAATGAGCGCAATAAACGCAGGGTCAAATTGTATACAGTCAACTCTCTCTAAGACGGACACCTTTGGGACCGGTACTAGGTGTCGGTCTTAGAGGGGTGCCCGTCTTATAGAGAGTCAAATAAAAGGAGTAAAGAAAGGCAGGGACCAACTCTAAGTGTCCGTTTTACAGAGGTGTCCGTCTTATAGAGGTGTTCGTTAAGAGAGAGTCGACTGTATCTCTAACCTTCACGCAACCGTCATTACCCGAACTAAATCCATGGAAACACTAAAAATCGCTCTCTGCATAACCTGATTGCCAGTGCCAAAATAGTCTGAAATTGGCGTTTACAATTCACCCTTTCTACGGTGAACTGTAAGGTTCAGAACTGTTCGACATGCTTCTAGCTGAAGGTTTTTTGCCGACGGGTGTCCGTATCGGGCAGGTTGAATTTAGAGAAAATGCAAGGGCTTGCTCCAGGGACAAAGACAACTGTTCGTAATAACAAGGTGGGTGTATGTCAAAGCGGGGTTCGGCCGTAATTGAAAACAGCAAAATTAATCAAAAAAAGGTTTGACGTACCTGTATGACGTGAAGAAACAATCAAAATCGATGGTAAGATATCCCATCAGAGACGCTTATTGATTTTTTTTGCGTTTTTCACTTTTTTTCAAATTCATAGTTATGAGGGTGTGAATGGGGTTAACCGACTAACGACAAAAGGCGAAAAATATTACTGACTACCGACAAAAAGAGTAAAAAATTACCGACTAGCGACAGGAAAAATATTAACCGACTACCGACATGGGATGACACTATCAATATTTGTTTTCAGAAAAACGACCATTTGCATTGTTTCCTAGCCGCAAGGAAGTAACCTCTTTAAATTTATGACTCATCAGATGGTCTAACAGAAAGAACTTCCTCTTTTGTTGATACGGGTACATTTCTACAACCAATATCATAATCACAGAAGCCACACTTTAAAGATGCTACCGACTTTATAAATGTTATTGAAAAGGACAAAGGTGAAAAAACTGAACGTTTCTTGTTTCGGTCCGAGAAATTCTTATAGGTTAATCCTCAAATAAAATTCTTTCCAGTTTAATGGAAAGCGTTGTCAGTAAAAAACCACGGTACCGCGATGAGCACAATCAGCAGTTTCCTTTCCAACATTTTCATGGGCACATATATTGAAACACAAAGTTTAAGCAAAACCGTCTTTAAACCAACTGTTTGAAAACGCTACATAGATGATATTTTTTCCCTATGGGACATAAGTAAACCACACATGGTAGATTTCTTCAAATTTACGGAACAAGTAAACTTACTTCACCCTACTGCTCTACTGGCTATGATTTTTACGACCGAAATATCTGACACTGAGACAATCTTTTTAGAGCCGGTTGGATACTAAGGCACAACATTCAACGAAAAATGAGAAAAAGCTATATCATCGACGTAAACGTAAAGACGCATTTTAAAAGGAAACCTTCCAGTATATACATTTTCACCTCTTATCACCCAACAATTGTTAAAATGGATTTGACAAACAAGAAGCCTTGAGAATCCTACGAACAAACTCCTCCAAGGAAGTATTTCAGATTTCAAAAAGCGGTTGATGGACAGAGGCTGGCCACACAATTTTGAAAGAAAAATTGCTATTAAAAGTGAAACTCACAGAAGGAAAGCAGCGCTCCTGAAACAAAACAACAGGGAAGAAAAAGAAATATTGCCTTTCGTGACTCAATACAAGCCCTTGGTGTCTATTATAAAAGAAGCTTTAATGAAAAAGTGTAATCTCATACAAAACCAACCACTACCTCGCCAAAGTTTTAAAGAACCATTTAACCCTCGGACGTACACGCAAAATCATGCCCCCCACCATGGTACAAGAGGAGGGTAGATGGAACCCCTCCCCAGAGTTTTTGATATGTTGCAGTATTTCGAAGCGATTTTGCCTTCACTGAAAAGCCTTTGATCTTCTTAACAAGATGAGGTATATTTTATGAATGGTGGCGCTGCTGGAGGCCTTTGACGTCACCAAAAATGGTCGCCATCTTGGCCTCCATCTTGGATTTTACCAAGAATTAGAAATCAGGTTAAAACAGCGAGAAATGGTAATTGCTTGACATGAATAATAACACATAAATAAGCACTTTGCATGATTTTAGCCACAAGATTTACTTTTATTTTTGAAAAAAGTTGGAAAAAAACATCAATTTCTTTCAAAATGGCTTGACCACCTGCTACTTATTGACTCATACCTCGTAACCATAGAAACTGATCATCACTGAACTTTTCTCAAAATGCGTGTGAGGGATAAATGACCATCTACTGAAAACGTCAGGTGCTGATGTTTTATCCTCTTGAAAAAATCCCAGAAAAACTTAAGGAGGTTGGCAACAACCGACAAAAATCAAAAAGTTTAACCGACTACCGACAAAGATCGAAAATTTTAACCGACTACCGACAAAGTAACTGAATTTTAACCGACAACCGACAATTGGACCCCCCCCATTCATACCCTCAGTTATGTCTCCATAACCAAGAACGCTCAGTATAAAATTATTTTTGCAGTGATAATCCTTTTCTATGAAAGATATTTGAATTGCAACTCAACCATTTCTTTCAGAAAAAAGCTGCCAGGAAATCAAGAAGTTTGGCAAATCACAAGGCGATGGTGTGTACTGGATAGACCCGGATGGAGGAAACCATTCCAATGCATTCCAAGCTTACTGTGACATGACGTCATACGAAGGAGGATGGACTATGTGTTACACCACCAAGGAATACGCCAAACCCAAAACGGAAGTCGCTTACCGCCCCCAGTTTCCTTATAGTAAAGACGGGTACAGGACGAACTGCAACAACATCCCAGTAAGCTGACTATAAAAATCTGCTTCTGTAGTAAATTTGTCTGTAGATCTAACCGTAATTTGTTTGGAAGTGATCTCTATAGACATCATACTGAATAAGTAGTTGTCATTTTGACTCATAAATGCGTTAGTAAGCAATCCGTATGTTTAGCCTGCGGGCAGGCTCACTCGTTCGAATTCGGAGAAAATTATTTCCAGCGAGGAAAAAAAACTGTAAATAAAACTAAACGGCATTTGAGGCAAAAGTAGTGCAGGCCTACAGACGCTTTTTATCATTAAGTTTGATGTGTGAATGTTTGTGCCGCGTGTCCATGGTTTTTGTCATGATTATGTTGCCTGTCGACGCCTGTGTCTTTTAACTAATTAGATTGCTGCGTTCGTCAGCGAACGCAGGGTATTCAAAAATCAATAGCTTGCGTGCAGGCTCACTTTTCCTAGGCCCATTGGCGGCTGCGCCGCCAAAATATTTCCCCGAACTCGCACAAGTGAGGCAGGCTATCGTATGTTGAGGCCATTGCGAACAACAGCAGAAATCGGCCTAGTCCCTAGGCGTTCTCTCTTGCCGTGTTGTCCGCGCGAAGTCTGGGAAAGAGCGGGCGAGTATCTCTCGGTGACGTCACAGCTCACGATAGAGTCCCGGATTGACCGCGCCGAGAACGCCTAGGGACTAGGCTGAGCAGAAACGATTCCCTGTGTAACTATAACCTGCGAACACAGACGTATTTCTGATCGTCGCTTCTCTCCATCCGAAAAGCAACGGGTAAAGAGACGCGACGACCGGAAATAGGTCTGCGTTCGCAGGCTACCAGGCTATGCCTTTGTTTGAGCTGATTGTGCTGATTGATTCTTGAGTCTGAGAACGTCTATACACTGCCCACGACCGTCTATACCTGAATGCGACATCCGTCACATTAATACCTGGACAATCTGGACAACTCGCTATCCTGTTGTGGCCTTTCCCTTTTTTTTTCGTTTAGCGTCGAACGCGTTTCCTGATATTGGGTCGGTCGGTTGGATTGAAATTGATTGGGTCGGTCAGACGACGCTAAACGGAGAAAAGAGGATGGCCTTTGGAAGTCAGGGCTAAGTTAGAGGATAAAGTACGGTGATAACTCCTTGGTTGTACTTACATATTTGCTTTTCTTCCATTTTTTAAAGTTTTCTGAAATAATATTCATCGATCATCAAATGGGTAACAAAGCTTACTTCAAACGACGTTCACATTCATCTCTAACAGCGGCATCTAACGGCTATGACAAATCAGCAAGTGCAAGTACATATGGATTATGGGACGGAGAGGGAGTAAACAAGAATTATTCCTATCAACTGCTGATTTGTGATGATGATTTCTACTCTGGGTTTTTTGTTTCGGGTTACACGAACTGTTTCAAGAGATGTGTCCACTGGTGTGGTGACTATATAACACCATACTTCCGAACAGCATCCACCGATCCAAAGTACAAAGGAGTGGCCTTCAATATCAATGGTCATTATCCCCACGTGGTGGAAAAAAGGCTGATCAGTGTTGGCCTCCGCTAGACAGCTTGCCATTTCAGTGCGAATCGTATCATGAATGGATTTAGCAGAAAACAGTAGCGAGGGGCCACCCCACTTCTTTTTTTTTTTTTTTTTTTTTTTAAATACCGTTAAATTTTTAAATTTTTTTTTGTCTTAAAAATTAAAAAAAAAACGGGGGGGAAGGAGTAAAAAGGCCGGTTGGTGTTTGTTGGTTTTCGGGGATAAAAATAAGAAAAAATTTTTGTTCTTAAATTTCTTCGTTTGCAATTTTTGGGCCGTTTGGAATTTTAATTTTTCTTTCGTACATAATTTCCAAAAATTTTCTTATTT